CCAGTGAACACGAATTAACAAGATGTGTTTGTGAAACACTATGCCCCCGATGGTAACACAATTCTGGAGTGGGACATAGACTACAGTGCAATAGTAAGAGTTATGTCAATAGTTATGGCCAGTGTTAAAGTTTTTCAAATGTAGGTCAAAGGTCACAGTTGAGGTCACATGATCAAAAATTTCTGTACCAATGGAAAGGTCTTGTCATAATGAACACTCATGTCAAATATTAAAGTCTTACCCTTGACAGCGCAATAGTTATAGGCTAGGTTAATGTTGACAACAGACAGACAAACAAACAGACAGACAAATAGACAGACAGAACAAAAACAATATACCCCCTGGGCTCTTTCGATCCGGGGGCATAAATATAAGTTGATTTCACAAGGATTTCAAGAATCTTGCTTAAAATCAATATTTTGCAAGTTCTATTGTTGATACAATGACCTTGTTTGCAAGTACAATTTGCAACTACAATATATCGTTAAGTCGAACGTTGAGTGACCTTTTTCACACTAATTATTAGGCCAACATTTTCACACTGAATTTTCTACGTATTTCTCCGTTTACCAGATCATGACAATGAGAACACGGCGGGTGTGACCAGTCGACAGGGGATGCTCAAGTTTCCATGGCACCTGATTCCACAATTATTTTCAGAGGTCCAAGTTTTTTTAACTACATCTTCTAAACTAAGTATACTGACTTCAATATTTTCCTTTATTTTATTTATTTGTATGAATCTGATTATTCAGTTAAATAAAAGAGCTTTTCACTACTTGTTTATCTTGGAATGTATCATTTAATCTACGTCTGTGTGTATTTGATAGTTCTTAAGAAAAATTGAAACTGTGAATAGCACACAGTAGTTAAATTTAAACAGCTTTTGGAATTTCCGTTGGTACTAATTACGCCCCGTTATTAGCAGACCTTTTTTTTGTATTCGTATGAAGCAGAATTTATTAAAACATTCTGCATGAACAGAGGAAGTATCTTTTGATATCTAATATACACTTTTATATGTATGTCGAATGTATGTGGAACCCTAAGGCTTTGAATAATTTTAATGATCATATGATTGCAATGAATTTGTTATTATTTGACAAGATCATACGTTACTTGTTTTTCGAGAATGATACAAATGTGGCGTATTTATAGTATTTTTTTATTTAATATTTAAGTCATTTATTGTTTTCAAAATTAATTACTGTAGTGTGGCCAAAGAAAAAAAGATGTAATATATCAGTTTTCTTAAATAAAGCAGAATTCTTAGCTGAATTAATCAATTCATCGACTTCAAATTTAGACAACAGAACTTGATAAGAATTGCATTACTGATATGTTTTAAAAGTTAGTCTGCCATTGAATTTGTAAGACGATTTTAAATGCTTATCTAATGTATAGAAAAACATCTACAATAAAAAACCTAGTTACTTCGACACTGCCCCCAAGTAACTGGGGTATCTATGTATGTCGATATGTATGTCATAAAATGAAGGATTTACATATTGCTAAAAATGTGTATGGATTAAGAAATCCATTGTGCAGTTATCACCTGTTAATTTTCGCTTGCCTGAGGAGGTTTTGAATGAGTTCGAGATATTCTATGTAAGATCCGAAAATTTCATATCAATGTTTATGAGAACTCGGTTTTAACGGATAAGTATTCTTTCTATTTTTGTTTGTGGTTTAAACAGGAAATTAAATGTAAGCTATTAAAGTGTTAAGAAAAATAAATTTTAAAATCTAGAGAAAAATCTCTTATTTCAAATTAAATTATTCTGCTTCGGAAAATTATCGGTTGGTTTCAAATTCGTGTTCTTGAGGCAAAGACTTAAGTGAACTTTTCTAATTCTTTCGTAGTCTGTCTGTTAAACTTCACATTTTGCCTTCCTTTTATTTAAATATTATAGATAGCATGCCTATATGATATGCCAGCATTTTCTGGCTGTGTCCAGTCAGCATTGCTCAAATTAAAAAGACCCCTTGTGTCCAACGTCACAACATAAATCAGTGATACATATGAGAATGTATGGAAAAATATTTTTTAAATCTTCTAAAAAGAAAAAAAAAATAGGAGGGCCACAAGAGATAGAATTCGATAGACATTTCTAGCAAGAGCTATTTCCCATTGAACGCCATATTGGAGGTCTACATGCCCAGTTTCCTTCATTATTCAACCAGTTGAAACTTGATATAGTAAGTGTTGAGTTGTAGATAACACATTTTTTCCAGCATCTGTTTGCTAAAGCTCCTTTAATTCAAATAATAAATATCGTGTTGACTTTTTCCCTACATATTCCTGCCATACATGTTTAAAATTGGTTGCCAGTTTTACTCCATGATGGCGGACAAGGAAATAACTGGGGGTATACGTCATATCTTTTAAAGATACTGATACACAAGCATGAAACATATGGAGATAACGAACAGTATTCAAGCTCAAAAGTCCATTAAACATTACAAAATAGGTGCAGAGCAAACACGGACCTCCAAAACATCAGAGGTGGGATCAGATGCCATGGAGGAGTGAGCATCCCCTGCCGACCGGTCACACCCGCCGTGTGCTCCTTGTCATGATCGGGAAATAACGGAAAAATCCGTTGACAATTCAGTGTATAAATAATGGCCTAATAATAAGTATGAAAAACGTCAGTCAGCATTTGACTCAATGATAAACTGTATTTGCTGACAAGGTCATTGTATCGACCATAGAACTTACGAAATGATGACTTTAAACGAGACTGCCGATATTCTTGTTTCATCAACTTGTTTGTCAATAATTAACCTCGTTTTAGAAATTGTACATAAGTAGAGCATGCTCTCGCGTATCGAATCAACTGAGAGATATAAACCCCGTATGCAGGTGATGAAGGTATATTGCTGCATAAGTAAGGGAAGTTGACGATTGAAAAGTTAAAGTCATCACGTTTATCATAAAAAAAAAGCAGCTGTTAATGATATCAAAAACCTGGATTTTAATTTATCGTGGGGAATAGTTGTGTATAAAGTTGAAAAGTCGTAAGTTTTTAAGCTGTTGATTTTGGTAAAATCTTGTGATTTCAAATTTTGCAAAAGTTCCTTGGAATTTTTAAGTATTCACACCTAATTTACACCACTTCTCAAATATATTGTTGCACAGTACTCTTGAAGTTTCTCCTTCACTACTGTTAATATCTTAGTGAGGAGTAAAGGGGCTTGATTGAACATTTACTGGAACCCGCTATGTATCTTCGTTTGTAAGGATTTTTATGAAGTTTTGGAATCCAATATAGATATGGTAATTCAAATTCATTTTGGTTGTTTGGAATATTAAAAATATTAAAAACTGACATCTGATTTTGAAGAATTTCTTCCTTAGAAAGAGAACTATGAGTATAAGCTGGATTACCACTTGTAGAATTAAATCCAAGTTCCTCTAAGATATATTTAATATAATGAGCCTTACAAACAAAGACAATGTTGTTACCTGCTTTGTCAGCAGGGACCAGTACGTAGTGATCATGTAATCTATCTATTTTTTTTCACTTCTGGATTATTGAATACAGAAGGATAGATGGTTCTCATATTGCCCCTCAATCTTTTAATGCGCGATTTTAACATAATCTGATACATTTACTCCATTCTGACAAAGTGTCAAGGTGTTCTTTTTCATGTCTTGCCCATCACCTCTCGTAATCCTCTACAGAATCCATAATATTTATGAAATTCCGACGCCAGTTGAAGGATCGGGGTTCCCTATATTTAGGACCTTTTAAAATTAGTGATCTAAGGTCCTCATTATTAACTATATTTACGACACCAGTAATAACGTGTCCAGCAGGATTAGAGTTATAGGATGAAGAAGAACATGAACACGATGGAGGATTATGTTTCAGATATTCGATATCCAGGCACTGTAAAGTTTTCTTGTAATTAAAAACTTTGGAAGCAATAGTCGATGTATATTTGTGGGAAGTACAAGATGTAGTCTTTAACTTGAAATATGGTGGAATACAAGACTGGACCCTTTTGTGGTTAAGAATATTACTTATATTAACCACGTCAACTCCTTTGTTGGTATATTGAAGTTTAAGGAAAAAGCGGACTGGTTTAGCATCTACATTTAATGAACGTGGAGGCATAATACAGAACAATGTTTTGAAGAGAATCTGTGATAATATGTTCCTTAAAAAAAACAGACCCAAAATTAGTAACATTAATATTCATTCAGTAGAAAATCAGTTTTGTTCAAAAGAATCATGGTTGGGACACAATTTGAACAATGTTTTACATGGAAATATATAGAAAAAAAATATCTTTTAAAGAACCGCCGCCGGACTACTATTAGTCATATTGATATTCAAGCATCTTATGAAGTGTGTAAACATTTGTTTAAACATTTGTTCAAGTGTTAGATCCGGGGATGAGGCATTATAGGGTTAACGTTTACCGTTTGATTTTACGAAACAATTTCAACATGATTTTAAACGTAATGTAAAGCGGGAAGTAAGTCAAAAATATTCACGGTGACTGGATTTCCAAGAGATACGAGTTTCCTCTGCTCAAAGTTATTAATTGTGTAATTGGACTTTTAAGGAAGATTACTGTCAAATTCATTTGGAACTTGATTTTTTTTCTCAAGAACAACAGGGCCATGATTTGTCAACTTCTTATACATATACAAATATCTACTAGTGGCATAAAAGATGTTTTATAAATTATGACCTTGGGTCTAGGATTTGACTTTTTTGTATTATATAAATACAACCAAAAATAAAAAAAAGCTTCTTTTAGAGTAAGGAAGGACATGTTCCATCAAGTAAAAAAATAATATATCATATAGTTAATATAGATATTTGGTCAAACCAGAGACTCTGTGGGAAGAAAGGGGACATAATAAAAGGACAAAGATTTAATTCAGCATATGTAGAAAAGAACTGTAAAAATCAAATCTCAAGAGGGAGCCCCATTACAAGCAAGAATCAGATATATGTTTAAAGCAAAACCTTAGTATAGTCATGTCGGCTCGAGCCAGAAAGCGGTTTATAGTGGTCATATGGTTTTTAGCTCACCTTGCAAGGGAGTTTATGCTGTACCTCAGGGTCAGTTTCGGCTTCCGGAGTTGAAGTTTTTGTTTTGAAGTAGAATCATTTCCAATTAACTTTATGCTCTATATTGATCAGAATTGCATGAATGGTGCATCTATTATTGTGTGTTGTACTTGTCAGGTTTCATATGCTTCATTTTCAGCCTATAGTTTTCAGAGAAATGGTCAGATGAAAGTTTCGGGAACAAGTCCATTCCCAAGTTACTTTAAGTCCTACCTGAACTAAACTTGCATGGATGAGAAATCTAAGGAAACACACTACCAGACTTACTTTGGATGAGGAAAAGAGTAAATGTTTTCCCATTAAGGTTTATTCATGTATTTTATGATCTGCAGGTAATCAACATTAAAAGTTTGGAATCACAGTTTTGTTGTTTAATGTTGACAAAATTCTGTTAATTTTCAAGACTTACTTTTTTGTTACATGCGCCGTAGACTTAATCATTCAGTCATTGTTTCGTGAATTCTAAACATGTTTTGGTGACATGCTCATTTACTTACAAATGCTATATATAAACAGTGAATCGTCAGACAACAATTAAAGCATATTTCGAAAAGCAACAGAGCCAAGGTTCTTAATATCTGTTTTTGCATTCCTTTGTCATATACCAAAAGCCTTTATAATTATCATCATCTTCTGATTTCTAAACTATTTTTAAATTGTCTGAAAAATATACAGTGAAAACTGTCTAATTCGACACCTGTGCAATACGTCAAACTGTAAATTCCGACCTCAGATTTCGTTCCCATTGTACTATTTTCCATGTTTTTTTACACTGTGCAATCCGACACCCTGTCTATTCTGACACAAAATTCGTCTCCATGGGCATGTCGGATTAGACAGGTTTCACTGTATTAACCAAAAATCACCATACCACCAGTTCAAGTGATTTTCAGTATAGGATTATACATATAGGAAATACGATCCTCCGAAATCTTGCACAAACGTCTGGTAATGTACCCCAAATTTTTGTGAGGAAACTTCTAAAAGAAGCAATATCTCAATCATATATTCTTAGGAAAAGTTATATATATTTTTAGGAAAGTGTCGTCTGAATTTAATACTTTGTGTTTTACAGGATGGATAGCCGAAGAGTGTGACAAGTGTAGAGACTACTCCAAGTTTTATTGCAATACCTGTCACATTCACATAAAAGTGTGTGAGGGATGCAGGGATATCCATCTTGAGGAGAGAAAACACCGTCAGCACGAAATGGTTGTCTATTAGGAGAGGTGTAAAGAATTACCTTTAGAGAATTGTGATATTCATCCAAAAAAAGTTGTGGATAATTACTGCAACAACTGCAAATTACCTCTTTGTTCCTTGTGTTTTGCAAGAGATCATAATGGGTATAGCGTGATAGAGTTGGAAGATATGTACAATGAGTGCATAAATGCAGCTAAGATGAAACTTAGGAACATCGAGGATACTGATCTCTTTGAATCACAGAAAAGACTGTTAATGCAAAGAGACAATATTGAAAATCTGAAAAGTGGATTTGCTTATTTGGGGTTAGCCATGAAAAAGAGCGCTTATGAATTAGTTGCGAAAGTAAACACTCTACTTGCTGATAACTATGCCAAGCTGGATAAAATGGAAGAGTGTATATTGGATGATACGAGAAACCAAGAAATTGAAACGGACCTATACGTTAGGAAGCTTGAAGAATTAATCAGCATTTACAAAAGTAAATTGTTTATGAGTTAGCCGAGCAATTTGATTTAATTTTACAAGGATCATTCGGCAGTAAAACTGAAGATGTTGCCCGACATTGGTGAACCAATAATACCAGTTTTCACAAAAGTAGAAGCCAACAAAAATGAGAAATCAAAAAAATTTGGGGAATTAATTAATGGAAAATTACCTTTTGATAAACAATCTCTAATTCCTCCGAAAATAATAGAATCAGATATTGAAGAAATGAACATATCTGAACCCTTCTCTGACACTTCAAAGGATCTCCAAAACAAGGATGGTTTTTTAGCATAAAAAAATTAAAAAAATTAACCGCCTCGGCCTCAGCAATATTTGACATATATCTTCCATATCCCAGGAGATATTTTGGCTTAGTGATGATGCAGGAAATCACATCCGAAGTGACAAAGCGAGAAAGATCTTGCAGAAAGATTGTCATCTATAAGGTCAGTGACACGTCTACTATTCCCTTATCTCCAGACAGGATTGGGCTCCCCGGATATTCTGGGAACCAAACGCTATTTTTCGTCTCCCAACAATGGAGACATATTAGTGGGGATGAATAGAGTTATTATAGTTAAAGAAAGGAAAATCACTAGATATAACAAGGAAGGGAATAAGCTCCAAGAGATCCAGAGAAATTCTAAAGGAGAGGAGTTATACAAAAGCATTACTTTTATTACTGAAAACATAAATGGCGATGTTTGCGCATCAGATCTAGACCTCACTGCAAACAAGGTAGCAGTGGTGACCAAGTCAGGAGAGTATCGGTTCTCATACTCGGGTCACCAGTCTCAGTCAGGATTCTTTCCTTATGGAATTTGCACGGCTAACCTGGGACATATTTTGGTGTGCAATTCTTCCGTTGATCACATTTCTGATGCTAGGTGCTTCAGTGTTCACCTATTAGACCAAGACGGACATTTTCTGAGATGTCTTCTTACACCTACTCATAGTCCATCAGATCATTACTCCATCTGTGTTGATGATCAACAGAATATATTAACTGGATCTAGAGGGAGTTCTACGCTTACTGTGTATAAATATCTCAAATGAACACATATCTATTGTCATATCATTGATTCTTCTCTACGAACATCTCAAGCATGTTCTTTTGGCCTCGAATATAAAAAGTGTGATTCAAAACATAAAAAAAAAATAGATGACATCGGGTTATGTATCTGACTGTTGGTTGACTTGTCTTAATTTAAATATTTTAGGAATGACTCTAATTCTTGGCCAAATTATTCGAGTATAACCTGGTTTGGGTCAGTTTACGCTTTATAATCCGCGAAGCGGATTATAAAACAGCGTAAACTGACCAAACCAGGTTATACTCAAATAATTTGGCCAAGAATTAGAGTCATTCCTTATAATTTAATTAAGGTAAAAACTGATACATAGGCCTAGCAGCTTGTTTACATGTGGTAAGATCGAATTATTGTTTGAAGTTAAAGGTATATTTATTAAATCTGGAATTTTCCATGAACTGGAAATGAGAGGATTGTATCATACAGATGATTCAGCTGGTTGTCAGGGGGGGGGGGGGGTGTCCCCATACCAAACCAGGTTATACAGAAATAATTTGTGTTCCTTTTAGGATATTAACCAATCAGAGGCTAGAATACAAACAAAATTAAATTATATTTCTTTAACCAAGCGAAAATCAGACACCATTAGGAAAAATATTAAACAAGAAACAAATACACGTTTACCTTTAAAAATGCATACAAATGACACATTAATTCTATATCATCATACTCCAAAAATGAAATCGATAAAGTTTAAAAAAAAACAAACGAGATTTTGAATGTAATCCCAATCTGGCTTTGAGTTTAATTGAACAAAATTTTTTATCTTTGTTAATTTTAACATATTTTACAGATCAATTCAACATTTAGTTGAATATCTTTTTTTATTGATTTGAAGGGCATGTTATGATTAACAAGGGAAAGAATACTGCAACACAAGAAGGCATAGAACTAGAGATGTTATTGTCATTAAAAAATTGTACATAAATAATGTTATGAATATTGTGGTCTATGTTTGAAATACGCATTGAAACCAACTTTATGTCACGTCCCTACCTATCTTTTTAATGCTTCTAGCTTTAAGTTTTATTAAGTTATACTTTCAACATTTTCTGTATATACATATTATCTTTATTTTTTCATTATCATGTTTTTGTGCACGTGTTACTGTTGTTTATTCTTATTACGTGTGTTCTACTCTGCACCTATTTCTTGTTTGTCTATTGTTTATTATTGTTTCCTTTTGTACTCTTTTCAATTTTGTTTGGTTTTTTGTGTGTGAGTGTGTTAGATCCAGACCTACAAACGTGGATCATGTCTATGTGTATTATCTGTCATCATACGATTAAGCAAAATAATTCCTACAATCAAAAATTATCCCCCCCCCCCTCTTCTTAAAATACTTAGCTGTATGTTTTTTTAATAATCAGCATTTTAAAATAGTCGTTTTGAAACTCCTGCTGTTATGTGGATGCATCGAGAGTAATCCAGGTCCATCTGTTTTCTCTAATATCACTATTGTGCATAACAATGTCTGTAGTTTATTGTCGAAGATTGATCTTATTGGTGTAGAACTGTCAGAAAATGATATAATTGCCGTAACTGAAACACATTTGGACGATAATATTAGTAATGAAAAAATCTTAATAAATGGTTTTCATGCTCCAATTAGAAGAGACAAAAATAGACATGGAGGGGGTGTAGCTTTATATGTATCCACTAAGTTAACTTACATCTTGAGAAATGATATTATACATCCTGATATTGAAATATTGTGGGTTGAGATTTGTACTCAGAAGCAAAAGTTTTTAGTAGGAGAAATCTACAGGCCTCCTGATTCAAATTCCGAATATTGGGATAAGTTTTTATATACCATGGAAAAAGCTATAGATACCGAAATGTCAATATTTTTAGTCGGAGATTTTAATGTTAATATGTTAGCTTCTGGTAATAATACCTTTAAGCATCTTTTACAAAGATTAAATATCAGTAATGTCGTAACTGAACCAACCAATTTTACTTCAAATACAGGAACCTGTATAGATTTAGCCCTCACAAACGATGTAAATAAAATTGAAACTGTAAAGGTTAATGCACCCATATGCAGCTCTCATTCCCCAGTCATAATAAATATATCATTTAAGGCTTACAAACAAAAGGCTTATAAACGTACCATAAGAAACTATAAATCAGCCGATTACCAAAGTTTGAACGATGACTTAAAACAAGTTAAATGGGACGAGGCTGTGTTCAACTGTGAGAATGTTAGCGAAGTGAATAACAATTTCAATTTAAAATTAATAAACTTAGTTGACAAGTATATCCCTACAAAGGTCATTACTGTTCGACCCTCTGACAAGCCTTTTATTACAAATGCAATTCGTAGGAAAATGAGGAAAAGAAATAGAATACACCATAAAGCTAAACGTACAGATAATCCTCGTCACTGGCAAAAATTTAGAGAAATTCGTAATGAAGTAGTGAACTTAGTACGAATAGCTCGAAATGATTACAAAATAAAACTGGCCTCTCAACTTATAGATAAAACTATTCCCCCAGGTAAATGGTGGCGCATAGCGAAATCTGTCTCAAGACTTAAAAAACAAAATACCTCCCCTCCTCCTCTGAGAACTAGTGATGGTAGAATACTTATTCATCCTATTGATAAAGCTGAAGAGTTTAATACTTATTTTGTAAACATCTCACATATCAACACTGAGCCAGATCTTCCTGAACACGGACCCGGTCCGCCAATTAATTGCTTTGATGATTTTGAAATTACTGAACAGGATGTTCTTGATCAACTAGAAATCTTAGATACCACTAAACCACCAGGGCCAGACGGATTATCTCCAAGAGTCCTAAAAGAAATACGATTCTCCATTTATAAACCACTAACAAGACTCTTCAACATGTCTCTCAGTAAGAAATGTCTGCCTTATATATGGAAACAAGCACATGTTTCTCCGATCTTTAAAAATAAAGGAAGCCCTGAAAATACTAACAATTATAGGCCTATTTCTCTTACTAGTTCTGTTTGCAACGTTATGGAAAAAATACTTTTCAAGTATATGTTTAATTATATAAAAGACTACGAATTATTATCAAAAAACCAATCGGGATTTCAGCCTGGTGACTCCACAGTAAATCAACTAGTTGAAATATATGATAAAATTATGTCAAATCTCGATAAAGGCCGGGACCTAAGATTTATATTCTGTGATATTTCAAAAGCCTTTGATAGGGTTTGGCACAAAGGACTTATCTTTAAACTTGAAAAAATAGGCTTCCAAAATAATATTTTGGGCTGGATTAAAGACTACCTTACTGACAGGCAACAAAAAGTAAATATTGAAGGTTTCTCATCAACATTCAAAACTGTTGATGCAGGAGTACCCCAGGGATCTGTGCTAGGCCCATTTTTATTCTTATTATACATTAATGATATAACCGAAGGCATACATAATGGTATCCGTTTAATTGCGGATGATATACCTTTGTTTGCTATAGTAGACGCTGATATTATGACTCCTACATTATCTCTTACAGCCGATCTCGAAAAAATAAAGAAATGGTCAAACTCTTGGGCTGTAGATTTTAACGCTGATAAAACAATTAATGTTAACTTTACAAGAAAGCAGCGACTTTTTCCAGACATTCATTTTGGAGAACATGGGGACATTATTGAACCATCCAGTAGTCATATACATTTAGGGCTTCACCTTCAGTCCGATGGTAGTTGGAATAAACATATATCTGCTATTTACGAAAAAGCTTGTAACAGATTAAATATTTTGAGATTACTAAAGCACACACTTGATAGAAATTCCCTAATAAAGATATATTTTGCTTTCATTAGACCTGTCTTAGAATACGCAGATGTGGTATGGGATAACTGCTCTCAGGAAAATACAGAATTGTTAGAAAAGGTTCAAGTAGAAGCTGCAAGAATTATTACTGGTCTAAGAGTAAATTCTTCAAGATCTAATCTATACGACGAACTAGGTTGGGAGCCATTACATGAGAGAAGAATAAATCATAAACTTATATTATTTTATAAAATTGTTAATTTTATTGCCCCATATTATCTATGCGAATTATTACAGCCCTTCCAACCAGTGCAACTTTCTTATAGTTTGAGATCAGACAGAAGTAATCTTTCTCTACCATTATGTAGAACTGAATCTTACTATAATAGTTTTATTCCTTCAACTATAAAACTGTGGAATAATCTTAGCTCTGATGTAAAAATGTCACCTTCTTTATCAATGTTTAAGTCAAAAATAAAAACTAAACGACCATTTAGCAATTGTAAATATTATAACCATGGTAACAGAAAAGAGAATATACTTCACTGTCAATTACGCAGAAAAGCTAGTAACCTCAATGCACACTTAAAAAATCATTATATAATAGCTGATTCATCTTGTCCTAGGTGTGATTACCATAATGAGGATAATGAGCACTATTTTATGAATTGTCCAGTTTACACTATACAAAGAAATGAACTAAGAAAAAATTTACAAGAGCTAGGTATACCGTATGAACTAAAGACTCTTTTATATGGGTGTTCGAAGTTATCGTATCAAACGAACATCAACATTACAAATTATGTGCAAGAATATATTAGGTCAACAAAACGTTTTTAAATACATTTCCTTATGATATTATATATTTTTTAGTATATTTCATTAATACTATGTACTATGTTTAATTCATCTGGATCTGTGCGTGTCAGTGTGTGCTTGCGTGTGTGTGTCTGTGTGTGTTTCTGTAGGTGTGTCTGTGTGTGTTTACCCGCATTGTAATATATATATATTCAGTCCATTGTATTTTGTAACTTTGATTCTTGTATAGAGAGGGTATTTATAGGCATTGCCTGTTACCCAATCGATTCATTATTTTGAATAAATATTGTTTAAACCTAATGATTTCATAGGGCTCACGGCGGGTGCGACTGGTCAACAGGGGATGCTTACTCTTACTAGGAACCTGATCCTCTGGAATTTCCTGGGGATCCATGTT